TCAAGTATATCATTCTTTTTATAATATGATTATATATGTTATATATATATTATATATTATAACAATATAATTCTCTACACTAAGTCTAAAAATACCTTTAAAATCTTAATTTAAGGAAACGTCGACTTGCGCCATTCTGATTCTCACCGGTTCATATACAGAACACATTTAGGTAGCATGTATAGGCATTAAAAAAATTGGTGTCTTTTGGGACAGCCTACCATATATATATATATATATATATATATATATATATATATATATATATATATATATATATATATATATATATATATATATATATATATATATATATATATATATATATATATATATATAATTATTTTAATGTATTCTACAAATAGAGTGCTCAATGCTCTTAAAGAACAGAGTAATAATAAATTAGTAAAAACACTTATCAAATTTTTCCTTCAACAGGCTGTCTCTCCGTCATTGTCAATGTTTAGACATTCTTCCATATATAATTATATATATATATATATATATATATATATATATATATATATATATATATATATATTATATATATATATATATATATATATATATATATATATATATATATATATATATGTATATATATATATGTATATATATATATATATATATATATATATATATATATATATATATATATATATATATATATATATATATATATATGTATATATATATATATATATATATATATATATATATATATATATTTATATATATATATGTATATATATATATATATATATATATATATATATATATATATATATATATATATATATATATATATATATATATATATATATATATATATATTTATAAATATTTTCCTATATCATAAATCGATGAACTTTTGCTCAAAAGTAATCAAAATGGGTTTTGTTTTGATTGATTTTTAAAAAAGGTCACCTACATCACGACCTTTTTAAAATAGTATATAAGTAGTAATTGCAGACATAATGACTTTTTAAAGCCAAGAATTTTTTGAACACTTTCTTGCGCCAAGTATTTTCTGGAATGTTCTGGATGTTTATAGAAATCTCTAAAATTCTCTAGACTTTTCTGCAGTCTTCTTGAAGTTTATGGAAATTAATAAGGTGGTAGACTATACAAGTTACTTGATTGAATAACCTAAATAGTTTTATATGAATCTGTATTCGCCAGATGACAGTCAAACAATATAAAAGTACAATAGCATTTATATTTATTATTATTGCCTATCAGAAATATATTAAACACTATCTTTAATCATAACGATAAAAAAATGCTTCCATTACTGAAAGACATGACAATCTGGATGAAGAACCTCGTACAATTTTATGAGTTGAATAAATAGAAAAAAACTATTCTACTAGAAGAAGAATCACTGGAGGATAACATCAGAATATCACTCAAATTCCAAATTACTGGTCGCCATGTGTTCCTGGAAGAATCCATCAAAGGGAGACGAGAACGTATAAAGCAAAGCAAAAAAGAAGAAACAAGTTTATGGCAAAAGAGATTAAGTATTCCCCATTTATCAATTCAATTCAATTAGGCAAAACTGGATCAAGTGCTGAAGTCGCACAATAAATGTGTAAAACAAAGAAAATACTATCCATTGAATTGAAGTTTTTGACATCACAAAAAAAGATGGTGAATGACTCTGCAGTTAGGATAAAAAATTGAAAGCTCAAAACAGGTCGGTTTTACAACTGGGAAGGCTGGTTGTTCAAAAACTATCCATCCATCTAAAAAAAGAAAAATTTCCGTAAAGCTTACTTCAGCCAGGCAGCAGCGACAACGTTAACTTTCGAAACCGAGTCTGAGACAGAATATCAAGAGTCTGAAGATTCAGAAGAACAGTCAACAAGTACCAGCAAGAACTACAGCAAAACCAAAATTGCTACCAAATTAGCAACATCTTCAAAAATATTAACCAGCAAAGCAGTAACTATTTGTCGACAGTTATCTTAGGGTGGGATTGATATTTAGACACATTAACTGTCTGGTATATTCAGATCGACAATTAAAGAAGCTGTTAAACTTAAAATAGAAATGAAGAAAACATAACAATTAGGAACTGGTTACTGCACTGTAATAGTAAACGCTCAGAAGAATAATAAGTGTTAGTGTTAAAAAAAAGAGAGAAGTTACAAGCATTAGATTTACCGGTTGGAAAGGCAGTTACTGTATTACAGCTATTCTCGATGAATACAATTTAGAGTATAAGATAATTGTAGCAATTTATTTTTTTTATTCACCCGGCCTAAGATATTTTTGACACCTGTAAAAAGAAAGAAAACCTCCACCTTATATTTATTTTGTTTAGCAAAATATAAAAGTTGTATATTACGCTTTAATTAATTGCAGCATTTTTTCGATATAAACAGTTGCTTTTCATACTTGTAAAATAGTTATTTAAGTTTGAAAATTTCTGGAAACCGGTAAGTTGGTAATATTTTATCACAAATAATACAATGATACAGTTTTCTATAAAATAAAGACCAGCGAGGATGTATAGGATGCTTTTTTTATATTTTGTTCACGCCTCATTCCTTATCGATGGCGCAAAATATGCCCAGAGCTCACTTCAAACCCTGGATTTTATGCTTCTAAAGCAAGTGCTGTAACCACTGCGCAACTCTAACTAAAATCGAGCAAAAAAAAGTTAATTTAAAAAATTCAAAACTTTTGCGTGAAAGTAGTTTATTTTTATTATTATAATTGATCGCTTATGTTTTAAAGAATTAGGATATTAGGGAATTAAGAAAACATTTTTTTTTTTGCAAAGCAGTTATTTCTAAATTAAAAAGTGACATGGGTTTGTTAAATGCCTTGCTTTTTACATTACATAGATTATTGAATATTAGCTGACCGGGCCCGTAAAAATACGGGTCTTTATAAGTTTGTTAGACACCGACCGTTTTTATACTTTTTCTTTATAGTATATATTCTAGCTTTCCAGATCCGTAAAACACAGGTCTTAACCAAAACCAAAACTGATCATTTCTATACTTATCTATTCCGCACTGGCCATTTTCTATGCCTATTCCTTATTTTCTTCAATATTTTTTCAGTGTAATTGTTCATTCTAAAAATTTGCTTTAAGAGCAAAAAAAAAAATAATGTGCACATTTCTGGCATACATAGAGTTCATAAGAGATAAAATGGTTTGTGAACTTCCTACTTAAATGTTTTTCCGCTGTGCTCTGTGACAAGACCACCAGGTCTTCTTAGGGCACCTAAAAAAAATAAATTATTTATATATAAATAGTTTCAATATTGCATAATTAAAAGTTTAAATTTCATTTAAGAAAAAGAGCAGACACTTTTATTAAAGAAAAAGTACTGCGACTCGTTCTCGTTATTAACTCGGGTGAAATGGCTGCCGTGAATTCTGTTACAAACACGCACTAATTAGTAACAGCATTAAATTCTATATTAACATATAGGAAAGGAGTAAGAATAGGAAGGATAGGAAGAATAGGGTGTCTTTTTCTGGTTTATATAATAAATAATTGTATTTTCCTTCTCCTTTATTCATCGCATTATATTATATACTAAATATAATGTGTATATCCTTATATATTATATTTAGTTCAACAAATTTGTATTTAAATTTATTCAAAGTTTTGCAAATAAATTTACTACATACGCAAACATGTCATCAGTGGCGGATTAAGACTTCTTGGGGCCCGGGGCTATTTTTGTTTTTGGAGGCCATTTTATGGGCCAGAGCCTAAAAATGACTTAAAAAAAAGGTCCTCTAAAATTTTTGGGGGCCCCTAAATTTGCAGCGGTCGGGGCTATAGACCCTAGCCCCCCCTCCCTTGATCCGGCACTGCATGTCATAATAATAAAAACTAATAAATATAGGGATAATGAAGTGTTTGAATCCAAAAATATTTATAACATCCCTATATAAAATTATTAATAATAAAAAGATTTACAAAAAATGTAAAGAAATAAATAATTTTTAAAGTATCATGTGGTGATCAACATATACTAAAGCATTGATTGTTGCTATAGCATAAAATTAAATTTTCCCGGGAAATATTAAAAAAAGAGAAGATAAAAAAGTATAAAATCTTATTATTTAAATGCATCATGTAGTTAGTTAAATTAAAAAATAGTAAATAGTAAAAGATTAAAGAAAGATATTTAGGTTAATTTGTTACAGTTTTAGCATTGTTTGGTCTGTTTGGATTTTATAGAAAAATAAAATATTCGCGATAATAGAAACTTTTTACATAAGTATAGAATAAGTAGCGAACTTTAATTTTAAAATATATCAATTTGCTATTTAAAAAGTTTAAGAAAAAAAACGGGAATAATATAAAACAAAATAAAAGCAATAACCATTAACACAATAAACAATAAAAAAAATACAAAAAAATGCAGAAAAGCGATCTCGAAAGCGATCACGAAAGTTGCCATTTACAAAGTGGACCAAAAGTACTAACATTTAAATAAAATTTAAAGAAGCTATATTAACTTAGAAACACACCATTCGACTTGTTGTTCGAAGTATTGGGACGCCATATGTTTGTTTTACATTAAAAGCCATTTGGACATAGCTTGGCTCTGGAGCCAATATTTTTATCATAATTGTGTTTAACTGATTTAATCTTTCAACTTGCAGGTGCGGAATTTCTATTGTGAATCAGAAGTTTTAAATTTAAATATGCTTAAGTGTGGTCTTACTAATTAATATTAAGAAACGTTTAAATTATATTAGGAAAGTTTTAGTTTTAGTAGGCAGTGCATCCACGCCGTATGTTATGTCATAGGTGGAAATCTGAATCTGGTGCACGAAATTTGAGAGGAAAAATAAATTATTATTTCAAGATGTATCATTTGCTTATTCCTTTAAATTTGGATGTAGTTTATATTTAGATGGTTTAATAAAAATAAGTATGTACTAATTTAATAGAAGAAAATGGTTAATAAAAAAGAAAGCTTAGATAAAAACTTAAAAATTTTTAATAAAGAAGATGTAATGCAACATGTTTCTCCGGAAGATTGTTGGGTGACAGTAAGAGGCGGTGTTTATAATGTAACAAAGTTTTTGAAAAATCACCCTGGAGGACCTGATCTAATATTAACTAAAGCAGGATCTGATGTGACCAATATTTTAACAAATAATTCTATACATCAACACTCATTAAATGCTTATAACCTTCTGGAGCAATATAAAATTGGCTGTGTTGATGAACAAGATGAGGAGGTAATTAAAAATATGTTTTACACACACACACACACACACACACACACACACACACACACACACACACACACACACACACACACACACACACGCACGCACACACACACACACACACACACACATACACAATTTATCATTAACATGAAAAATTTAATAAAATAGTTTTAAGAGTAAAACTTTGAAAATATTGTATTTTTAAGTCATAAAAAAATAATTTCAAAAGTCTGTTTAGTTTTTGTACTTAAATAAAATGCAAACACATATTTTTAACAGGTATATTAAAATCCACTTCTTAATGTTTTAACTAGGGTCGTGGTTTTTAGACAAGTTTATAGACAATAAAAAGGTGTTTTAATGATAGCTAAGTAATTTTTATTATTATCAATCCTTAAGTTTTAGTATAATATCTGTTTCAATTAATTAGATATGATATAATTAATTAGATATGCTACAAAAGATGTAGGTATTACTATTCAACAAATAGTAGTAGGTGTTAGTAGTTTATAATAACAAGGTACTGATTGATTCTTCAAACAAAAATGTTTGTAAAAATAGAATTGAAAATATTTTGATGCTTTTATTGCAAGCAATATTAACATTATATATATATATATATATATATATATATATATATATATATATATATATATATATATATATATATATATATATATATATATATATATATATATATATATATATATATACACATAATCTTTTATTTTATTCAAGGCTGTTTTATTTTAACACAGTTTAGGCTCCCTAAAATAAAATATTTTGTACAACATTTTTTTATATTATGTTAAAAGATAAGTTAACTATGTTGTATTAGTTTTGATAATTTTGTTTTTAAAAACAAAATTATCAAAATAACATCTTTTTATTTTAAACTTATCTAGTTACTAAAAATCAATCAAAAAATGTTTTGGGTAATTAAAGATAATGAATATCTAACTTTTATAATACATTGAATAATGTCAAACAATTAAAAAATAATTAAAAGGTGCAACACCAAAAATTTAAAAAGTACAACAGCATACAATAACAACAAAAATAGACAAAGAAACAAGGGATAGAAATTAAGATAGAGAAGTAATATTAAAGCAAGCTAAACAAAAGGTTGTGATAACATAACTTGAATGAAAAAAAATATATAAATATAATACTCATAAATTATCTTAAAAATAATTTCTTTTTTTGTTATATGTATGTATGTAATTGTATATGTAAATATGTGTGTGTGTATACATGTAATTTTTTTTTAAATTATTTCATACTTTTATATTTTACTTTTAGTATTCACAAATGAGTTCAATGGAGGGATGGAATGAGGTAAATTGTTTTTAAAACAATTTTTAACTCTATTACTATTTGTTATATTTTTTTAAGTATACTTTTCATTTTTTTTTAACTATTTCAACTTATCTTAAACCATTTTTTTTTTGTTGCATACTGCAACAGTTACTTCTTTTAATGTGAATATATATAGTTGTATATTATTAATCTTTCTTGTTCCAATACTTTCTAGCATCTATTGTTAATAAATAAATGATTTTAAATAATTTATTGACAATAGTTTAAATAATTTGTTAGCCATTCCAAAATTTTTGTTTTTGAACTGTTTGTTTTTTGCTTTAACAAGAAATAATTATATTTATGATCATATTTTAATTATTCTGTTATATTTTAATTATTTTGTTATAATTTGTACTACACATGTACTAAATTATTCAAGTACTAATACAGTTTTTAAATTTATTGCATTGTTTATGAATTAGTATTCATATTTAATTTGCTATTTAAAATGATTCATCTTTGAATGATTTAACTTAATTCATTTAAACTTTAGGTTATTTACTGTTTTTACTTTTTCTTTCAAATTTAAAAAATCAAATGTTTTAAGATTAAATATGATTTATAATATTAAATATTATTTAAAATATTTAAAATGATTCATCTTTGAATGATTTAACTTGACTCATTTAGCCTTTAGGATATTTACTGTTTTTACTTTCTCTTTCATATTTAAAAAATCAAATGTCTTAAGATTGAATATGATTTATAATATTAAATATTATTTAAAATATTAATTTGAAAACTGAAAAAAAAAAAAAAAAACTCATATGTCAAATAAGAGACCAATATTGTATCAACTACAGATTGCAATTACAAAACTAAATTCATAGTTTTGATTTATTTTAAAAAATGGAAAAAATGATTTTATAACAATGATGATAAGTAGCTAGTAATTAAACAAAAAATCATGAATCTGTATTATTTTTCGAGACAATATCAAAATTACAATTTTTACAGTGTAGCTAAAGATTATGCTTTGTACAAACCCTGTCTTATATGAAAATCTAAATTGTAAGATCTTATTACATAAAGTACAAATTTGCATAGCTTGAGTGAAAGATTTTACAATATTGTAAAAGTTTTATAGGGTAGGGCTGATTTACAACATTTTGAGAAAAACATCAAGTCAAAAGTTAGTGTAAATATAGCATAAGTTTTGGTTATTTTAACTGTAGAGTATAGTGTTAAATTCATTATAATTGTAATCAAAATGTTCAAAAACATTGATTGAAATCTGAGTTTTTTATTATTTGCAGTTTTGTGTGCATAATGCAATAACCTGACAAGTTGTAAGTTATCAGAACTTATAATAGTAGTATTATTAGGCTATCAAGATTATTTGTTTTAAATATATGCCTTGTAGTATCTGCCACTGTATATAATTTTTTCTAAAAATGTTTTTTTTATAAAAAAGTTGTTTCTTTTGTCAAAACTGAAAGATGTTTGTTAACAGTCAAATTGATAAAAAAAAGTACCCCTTAGGATCATTGACATCACCCCTCAATATCATTAGTTTGTTGTATCTTTGAAAAGATTGTAGACAGAAAATGTAAATAATATTATTAAATAAATAAAATAAATAAAAAGGCCCATTAAATAAATTTTCAAATTTTTCACATGTTGAAACAAGTAGGGCCAAAAGATTAAAAAAATTATTTTTGTTACCTGGCAATGTATACTGTGTTGATAATGCATTAAAAAAGTTGAATTATAATCAGATTTTAATGTCGTTGGGTGTTCATTACACTTAATTTGTTAGCACATGACTTAGTTATGAAATGTTAAAGGTTGCATAGTGCACATTGTCAAGTATATTAGGAACCAACACTTTTTGGAAGAGAACAAAAAGCAGCTAGACTAAACCTCAAGATATATCATATCTAATATACTTGCTAGAATACTGTGTCAAATTTGAAGCAAATCTGTAAAGTAAACTGCGATGTAATTAACTTTATTTTGCACCAGAAAGTCTCTAAACTTGTCATTAAAAGATCTTTTTGCTCAGCTAGAGGAATCATTTGTGCTTAGCACTTGCTAAAACACAAAGCAAAAAATAGCAGATAGAGTTGCATTGAGGAAGAAAAATTTCTCTGCAAAAGTTGTCTTAAAGATGTTAAAAAAAAACATATGAATATATATTTAATCTTTGGCTCCTTCACCTTCATTGCTAAATGTGAATGTTTAATGAAATTTAAAAAATATTGAGTTGGATTATTCTTATTTCTAATGCTATTTGTAATTCCAGAATCTTGCAATTGTGAATCACTTTCAATACATTTTCCTCTAAAAGGTTTCACTTTTTGTAAGATCACATACTGCTAAATGAAGGCCATAAGTATTACACAGCTAATGTTTAATACCATTCGCCCAAATTTTTTCATTATGGATGCTCTGTCTGAATTGTAATAAAAACTTATAATTGCATATCAAAAAGAGTGACTATTTGGTTGATTGAACTATTTCATATGAATATTAGTAATTATCTTTTTCCGGATATTTCCGGAATTTTTTTTCAACTTTCAGTTTTTCCGCATATCCAAATCATTTTCAATACATGCAAGTTTAGGTATATATTTTTGTAATATATTTGTTTTTTAAGCTTTTGCACTCATTACTCATAGAAAAATTATGAAAAGTGTCAAAAAAAGTTAAAAACAAATTAGCTAAAATCAAAGTTAAAAAGAAAATAAGGGAAAACAAATTCTGGATATTTTATCGAAACAATTTTTTCGGATTTTTAAAATATGACTAGGATGATCTATGGAATATTGAAAAACAATTTGTTGTTGTTTCACAGTTGTAACTGGATCACTGTACTTACTACAACAAAACTGGTAGTTGCATCCATTTTAGTTGTTTTTTTAATTTATGTTTAAAATAGTTGTCTATTTTTATTTTAATACTATATAGTTGATCATTAGTGTCATTGCAAATCTAAATAAGTGGAATCCTAATCCCTAAATCAGTGGAATCCACTAACTACTATTATATACATATTCAGTTTTCTTTCTGTTGCTCTGGTGACAACTTCAAAAACCAAGACCTGGCTCTAAGTTTGTCCAGAAGCATGGGCATAATTAGAGTCAAGTCTTGGTGGTGGATAGAAGAAATCAATGACATTGCATTTCATTGATTTCATTCTATATTCTACCACAGATAGCTGTAACTGTATTCTATATTCTACCACAGAAATGCTGTAGCTGTTACCTGTCTAATGACTTGAAATTAGCATTCAGACAATTAGCATCATAAACACAGATCATTGGCTCCTAACTGTATGAGGAAGTGAAATATAAACATCCTAAATAAGCAAGAACAATGAAAAATTTCCTTTTTTTCACCAGCTTTCAGTTTGAATTAAGACCTGAGCATCTATATTTTAAATAAATAAGTGGTTCTTGCTTTCTTATGTGCCTAGTTACATTAGATGACAAGAGTTTAGGTTGAACACTACACCTTGGAGTTCAGCATAAAAAGATGATCACTAATTCCCAGAATTTCTTGTAACTTTTGAAATTGACCGAATTCAATGTTTGTCTCAGCAAAATGAACTATCTGAGCAGAAGTAGAAGTTTTGTCAAATCATAAACCTATAATGTAGCAATTATTCTATTCCAACTAACCCATGGAGCATAAACAGGTTTGGTCAGGAAGCAAAGCGATTGCACTCTGTTTCTGACCATGCAAATTTTATTTAGTTGCAACAACATAGCCACGACTTTTTAGATTTTTTGAGTACATTCAAAATTATGTATGTTTCCATGTATGTCCAAAAGGTGCTACTTTTGAATGATGAAGAAAGTGGTTTTGGAAATCTTTATAATTCTAGGTTAAAAAATAATAACAAAATATTAAGGTTGAAACATACTAGACTCAAGTAAAAACTCCTAAATTGTCAATTTAACAGACACCATTAACCAAATGTGGATATCATCTGATCAAATTATTTTTGACAAGAGATACAAGTCCAAACCATTCTGCAAATTTTGGTATGAAAGAGGACCTTCTGATAAATATTGTCATAAACAAAATGTTTCTTATAACTTGTTATCGGTACTAGGTAAAATGCGAACTGCGAACCGGTAAAATGCGAACTTCTTTGCGAACCATCGTCCTATTGGTTGTTAATGATGTAATGTTTTATTTTTCTTAAATAGTTAATTGAGGGGTATATTTTAAGGACTTTTAAGCGAAAAAATTAATTAAAAATAAATAAAAGGAAATTAAGTGAAACTAGAAAAATACAATATAAATTTTTTTTTTGTCATTATTTGATAGACTGTCTGCCCAAACCAAACCCTCAGTCGATGTATCAGCACTTCGTTGCGAGTCAGGCTATAAGATAGTCGATGTAGCAGCATTCCATTGCGAGTCAGGCTATAAGATAGTCAGTGTAGCAACACTCCGCGCATGTTTTACAGTTAAAAAATAAAAATTTTATTTTAAATAAAGCTTTAAAACAAATAATTAAGAGTTAGATAGTTTTTTATTATTATTTTTATCATAACAATAATGGTCTTTAAAATACAGTGTTTTGGTTTGCAAAAACATTTGTATTTTACCGGTTCGCAGTTCGCCGTTCGCAGTTCGCATTTTACCGACAACCCTTTTTATCATAAGATGACACATATTTCAAAATGTTAGCATATGAATAAATTAAGTATTTTAGTACTTCTGTTGATAATTTTTATTGTTTTTGTCATTGATCTTATCTTTTTATTAAAAAATATACATACTTTGTTATAAACATTTATGCATTTTTTTGTTATAACCAATGAAAAAGCAAATTTTATGAAGTTTTCAATTTTTTGTTCTTTTAAATTATGACCTAAATATCCTGCAGCAAAATTATTTTTTACGTTTAATTTACGCATAAAAACCGTTCCAAAAAATTCTTAATCAACCCCAAAGCATTTTCCAATCAAATTTTATGAACCAATGTCTGTGAAAGCAGTTGTTTAGCTCACTGTGCCTCTGGCATGGTATTTATTCACTCGTAATTCTCTATGTATATATGTATATTTATGTTCAGTCGCCTGAATGTTTCTGTATGTTTATTTGATTTTTAATTTTGTTAACTTTGATTATTATTATTTTTTTAATTTTATTGAAAACAATTATATAATTTTTAAAACTTACCTAACTTCATATAATTTAAAAAATAAATTTAAAAATTTTCTTTTTAATAACTAAAAATAACTAAAAAACAATAAATAAAAGTAAAGTCACTTAGTTTAAGTAAAATATTAAGTTTTTAAATGTATACATAGTCTGCAGTTTAGAAACTTTAGATCATTATAGACCACAAAGATTATAGTGACGCATCCATATAACTTTTTTGTTTATCTTACTTAAAAAGAATTGCTTTAAAAATTTTATAAAAAAAAATTTACTTTTTTATTTTTTTCATAATTCAACTACTGTTAGTATAATTAGAATCTTGAAGAAACATAAATACTTAAATAAAGAATTATATTATACTTTTTGATAAATTGATTGTTTCTTTACTAAACGGCCATTAACAGTAAGTTGTTACTTTTTATAAAATTGTCGCCTAATTTTATAAAAAAATTATTATTTTTTTTGTGCTTTTTGAAATTTTCTAAAAACATCTAAAAAGCTGTGGCCATGATGTCGCCACAGCTTTTTAGATGTTTTAAATAAATATTATATGCGTGGTCATATATATATAGAAATTGCGATTGCGCCTGAATCCTGACCAAGCCTATATATATATATATATATATATATATATATATATATATATATATATATATATATATATATATATATATATATATATATATATATATATATATCAGGTATTATCTTATTCCGGATATTTCTGGATTTCCGGATATTTTTTTTACCTTAGAGTTTTTCGGGCTATCCAAAACATTTTCCATACATACATGTTAAAGTATATTTTTTTGTAATATATTTGTTTTTTAAGCTTTTTCACTTATCAAGCATAGAAAAAATATAAAAAGTTTGAAAAAAAAACCCAGAAAAAACAACTCAGCTAAAAGCAAAATTAAAAAAAAATAAGGGAAAACATATTTAGGATTATTTTCGGATATTTTATCCAAACAATTTTCCAGATTTTAGAAGTATGACCTGGATAATCTATGATATATATATATATATATATATATATATATATATATATATATATATATATATATATATATATATATATATATATATATATATATATAATATATATATTATAATCTATGATATATATATAAATTTATTTATATAAATATATATATATATATATATATATATATATATATATATATATATATATATATATATATATATATATATTATAATCTATGATATATATATAAATTTATTTATATAAATATATATATATATATATATATATATATATATATAAATTTGTTTTAATTACTAAATAAAACTTTTCTTTAGAATCTTGTTGATTGGAATAAAGGCATGGTTTTTCAAGTTTACAAATTAGGCCATAATTATTTGAAATGGGTACACTCACCTGTAAACAAGAAATTGAAGTTATTTGATTCTGAATTTGTTGAATTTTTCTCTAAAACGCCTTGGTATGTAATACCTTTGGTATGGATACCTATAATTATAATCGTCTCTATGCTTTCAATTAATGAAATGCATGAAAGCATTTCAAATAAATTTAAGTTTGAAAATATTTACGTTTATAAGTCGTTAGCTCTGGCATGCTTCTGCTTCAGTTTTTCAGTTGGTTTACCATTGTGGACGTTGATCGAATATATGTTGCATCGCTATTTATTTCATTTGGAGCCAAAAGGACCTTCTTTTTTTTGGATTACAATGCATTTCTTTTTTCATGGACAACACCACAAGGTTAGTTAATATTTTAATACGTTACACATTTTAAGTTTTTCTACATCTGCCCTTTTTTTTTCCTCCAGAAACTGACAAGTTTCTCTTCCCAGTCAATTTTTTATACTTTTGTGCTTTACATGTCGAAACTTAAACATGGTCACCTTCAGAAAAAATTTTGGAGCCAAAACCATTTGGAGGTTGCCTCCAATAGCTTCTGCTTCTAATAGCATCTGCTTTCCAGCTGGCTGCGGCCACCAAATTAGAGGCAAAATATTTGCCTCCTGTTGGCGAATGTAATGAAAAGTAATTGCAAGTTTGTCTTTAAGTTAATGAGCTATTAAAATATTAACTGAGAACAAATAATAAATATTTTACATCAAAGTTTTGTTTTATATGGTTTATTGACTATGTAAATAATTTTTTGAAAAAAAGAATTATAATTTTGTCAGAGCGGTTGTTTTTCTAGGACTATAGAATAAGTTCTTAATTCAATATTCAAAACAAATGTTATAAATTTGAAATTTTGTTTACAAGCCTTGAGCAAAAAAAAAAAAAAAAAAATTATAACAAATATTTAAATAGTTTTTGAAATGATTGAAATTTTAAAAAACAACAAAAAAAATTTTTTTTTGCATCTTAAATGCATCTAAACTTTTTTTTCATCTTAACTTTTTTTTTGCATCTTAACATTACTATTTAACCTCTAATTAATGTTTATTAAAAAAGTCTTTGCTTTTATTTTTCAAAGTTTCTTAGAATACTTACACATACATACATCGACTAATATAGCCGTAGTCACAGTGTAGTGTACATTAGACTATTTCAAACCACGTCAGACCTGGAAACTAATATTAACTTGAGGGGGCATTTTTTTTAAAGCGCAGTATTTGTTTATGTTTTAAACTCGTTGTTTTTAGGCAGTTTAATTCTTTTCTTAATTTTGAAGTGGTATTGCAGCTCGTATTTGTGTTTTAACAACTTTAGATCTAAAGATAATGAGGGAAATCCTATAAAAGCATATCGATTGCCGAGAGATAAAAATATTCAAAAACTTTACATGAAACTTTTTAAAACTTCTGGAATGAATTGGAAAAAAGGACATATATGTTCTGTGCATTGGAGTAGGAACATTAGAAATAACACCAAGCATTTACCTGACCAGTTTACCTTTTACCTCATTACCTCCAGATCAGTTGGAAAAGCTTAAAAAAAGAGTTTTAAATTTAAAAAAAAGCTATACAGACGCAATTTCGACAACACACAAAGCAAAGAAGATGTTAATATTTAAAAATACTTCAAAAAGATATAAAACTGCTTTATCAATAGCTCAAAGTGTAAATAGTTTTAAAAACAGATGAACCTTCGTAGTTTGTACAAAACAAACTATGAAAAAAACTAGAGAATTTGTAAAAACTGAGTTAAAAAAACAACTCAACAATATATAATAAGTTATATATAATTGAAAACTAAAAGCATTAACATTAAGAACTTATAGATTAAAGAGTATTCAATATTGTTCCATTGTATAGTAAGCTTTTATATTTCATAATGACTCATACATATGCAACTGGTTTTTGCAGAAGTGAGGCGTCAAGAAATCGCTGTCGAAAGAGCTCTCAGACGAGAAAGAATATTTAGAGAACAAAACAACATTTATTGATGTTGTTGCAAAATGGCATAGGAGCACACATAATGCAAGGATTTTAAGAGAGTCAAAACTTGGTAAGAAATTTATGGAACTCTTAAAGGCTTACTTATTGGTGATTCCGGCTATCCTTGGTTACTTACGCCCTATTTAAATCCAACTACAGCATCTTAGGGTTATAATTGAACAAGTGTTTGGAAGGTGGAAAAGACGCTTTCATTTGCTTCATGGTGAAATTCGAATGACCCCTGAAAGAACCTGTACCTTAATTGCTGCGTGCACAGTATTGCATAATTTAGCAATACAGTTAAATGACGGAGACATGGATGAAAATCCAATCGAAAATGATGAAAATGATAATGAAGATATTGTAGCTGAAAATAATTTCCAATTTCATGATGATTTTGCTTTGCGACATTTTTGACAATAATTTATTCGAATAAATTTACTCATTTTCAAATTCCTTTTTTATAATAATAAACAGTTTATTAATTTTGTATTTGTTATTAATTTGTGATGGAGCGATGGAGTTTTATAGAGTAACTTAATTTCATAGTATAGTGAAACTCCAATTCAATTGTTTTTGATGGTGTTAATTTATAATTTAACTCTAAAAATATAAAAAATTTAATTTAAAAATATAAAAAATAAGTACTTAGTACAAATCTAAAACAGTTTCTTATTACTTTAACTTGTTTAAATTAAGTTTAAAAAATTACGCAGCAATCATTTAAAAAAATCATGCTATGATGTACCATCTAAACCATCTTGGTTGCTATGTAAAAAACGGCACGAAAGTTAGCTAATGGAGCGGGCAAACAGAAAGAATTCAACTGACAAAGTTAATGGAGCGGTTAATAAACGATGACTTAACAGAAGGATAAGAATACGATTTTTCTCCATCCGTTTCGTAACGGGCCGTTAACAATTTTTTTCTAAACGGTCACTTGAACTCTCCGTTAATTTAACGGAGAGATGTGAATACGGCTGCTGACTCTATGTTGTCATGGATTAGAATAAAAATTTGTCATTTTTGCTTGAAAAGTCTTATACAACTGTGCATAAAATTTTACTGGTTGGGTAATATTTTGTGCTACACTTTTTAATGAAATAGATTTAAAAGTTGATGGTAGTTTTCTTCTAAAGAAAATGCCAGATATATTTGTGAAAACTGATAATGGATTAACTGACATTGTTATAGATGTCACTGAATTCAAATTTCAGCATGCTTCTAATCTTGATTTGAGTAGTTTAATGTTCTCTCACTATAAAAATACTTATACAAGGAAAGCCCTTATTGGAATAGCTCCTCGTGAAATGGGCCTTTTTTTCAGTGACATCTATCCAGGGTCTATATCAGACTCTGAAATTACAGAGAAGTCAGATATACTATCACTTATACAAAAAGATCATGAAGTGATGTCAGATAAAAGATTTGCAATAACAGAACTATGCTCTTCTAAAGGTATATACTTTAATTGACCAAAACAGAAAGAAAGGCACCAATTTTCAGAATGTAAAATACAAAAAAACTTTAATATTGCTGCCACTTGTATTCATGTTGAGCCTTATATTGGGAGAGTACGTAATTGGAAAATTTTAAACAATGTCTGGCCTTTAAATCAAATGCATTTACTGGGTTTAACTTGGAAAATGTTGTGCCATATTACAAATATGACATTACCTCCTATAGAACCAACAAATAAGTTATATAGTTAATAAATAAATAGTTGAAAAAAATATATTATTATATGTAAAAATACATTATGTTTGAATTGTAAAGTCAGTATTCTCAAAATTTAATAAAACAACTGATTGTGTGTATTTCTTGACAAAATTGTGAACTGGTTTTAGGTTTTCAAAGTTTAGTTCTTTGATGAGCAATTTTTCTCCGAGCAAACAAACTTCTTTGTTTTCATGATAGTTCCATTCAAATATTTTTGAATCAGATAAAATAGTGTTACAAATGTCTAATAATATATTAATGAGAAGATTATTTTTTTCAATTAAAAAAAAAATTCCACTTTTAGACTCTGGATGATAAGATAATAAAATAAAAAATTCAGCATCAGCACAAAGCATTTGCAATTGACATTGTTTATAGTAATGTGGAAATCGATCTAATGATTGAAGGGGTCCATCACAGTTTTCTGCCCTTTTTAACCTCTAATATCAAGCCAGCAGCAGCAAGAGCATCTGGGCTTGCTCCATAGCGTATTTTTGTAGGATGTGTAAAGAAACCACATTTAATTGTTTTTGATTGGGAAACTTTTTCAAAATAAGATATTGCAGTTTTTTCAAACTTTACTCCTCTTTTTATATTTTTCATAGCCAAAGGTTTGTTATCTTCGCTTTCACCAGTTTTTACAGTACTCCAGCATTTGATAAATTTTTTTTTCACCTGAAGTCCAAGTAAAGAAGGAAATCGAGTTCCAGTTATTTTAAATCTTCGTAATTGATCCCACTCTTCAGTATTTTGTGCAACATCTAAATAATTAGCTCCCTGTGGTTTTGGTGAGTTTTAAGATATTATGTCAATATAAACTTTTGCTTTTGGGTTAATTTTTAGTTGTTTCATTATACTATTCATAATATTTAGTTGATTAGTGTCTTTTTCAGCACAAGTGGACTTTATTACTTCAATAGGTAAAATATCTTGTGCCAGAATTTCCTCAGAGCCTGTCATACTAATTTGTTTATTAAAAGCAGAAGAATTGTTGAAATATGTTATTATTGTGTTAATTCTCTGTAACTTATTTGTGTCGTCAGATAATATTGTTTTATCAAACAAAAGTATTTTTGTATAATCATGATCAGCAAGGCAAATTCTTTTTTTTTTTTTAAAGATGAAAGTTAAATGCTCTCCTAAAGAAGATTTTCTACCACTATCATATTTAGTAAGAACTAAATTAAAATGTTCAGTAAGAGGTTTCTTCGTTTTCAGCTTTTCCTTTAGTACATTAGATATGTTAGAAACATCACATTTAAAATAAGAAGTGCCAGGGTCGGTAGCAGAGCATGTAATAATTCCATGTTTTTTTTTATCTTTGCTAATTTTTCTTTAATATCATTAAGAGGCATCATAGGAATAGAACCTTTTGCAATTCTTTTGTGCCATTTTTGAAGTGTTTGTGTCCAAGTAAGTTCGAGTATTTTTTCTTTTGTAGATGTGTAATGTTGTAAAAACAAAAGTAAACATAATACGTGGCAACATAAACCACTTGAACCAACTGGATAAGAACAATGTGATTTAAATGGCACACCATTAACAAATAAAATAACTGCAGGTCGGGCATTTTGCTCATAAGATTTTTTTATCATTGCTTTTACAAAAGTGTTACTCAACTCAGCTTGAAAAACTTAAACGTTTACTATTTTTCTACTTTGAAGCATTCGTGCAGCTTTTTCTTGTTGGCCAATACTTCCCTCGTTTTTATGCAACAAATATTTTTTAAATTTCTTTTGGTCAACAAATGGCATTTTAGAGTATTCTATTTTCCATTTCGCAGAATTCGGTGGACTTATCGAAGAATCTTAACTGCACTCAAATTTGAAATTTCTATCAGCCCTGCTCTAAATTTTCTTGAGCAAATTCGGATATCTATTAAGCTTTTTAATTCAATTTAGAAGTACATCCTTTGTGCCTGAAGTAGGCAGTTGCAGATTTTTTAACCACATGGTAGTTTCTTCTAATGTGAATTGATTAATTTTGCATGTTTTTTCCATTGTAAAAGAAAGTTATTATGATAAATCTGGTAGTTGTTTGATTAATATTGTTTATATAGTTGTTTGAACATATATTGCGCTTCAAAAAAATGTCCCCTCAAGTAAATATTAGTTACCAGGTTTTAACGCTTTGAAAAAGGCAAATAAATTGACTGACATAAATAGAGGGTTTAGGCTTAAGCAGGCATCTTTAAACTAAAAGCATTTCAATATTTATGTAAATTAGTTAGTGGTTAATAAATTAATCTAATTTATATTAAAAGCTGTTGAGTTAAATTACAGTGGTTTTTTTGATGAAACAGCTAAAATAAATGGTAAAAATTTATGTACAAATAAGCGCATACAAATAAGAAAAAATTATTCGAACGTCCAAATATACGAATAATGTTTGCTAACATTTTATAGTTTTGAACGTACAACAAGAAACACAGCTGAAGCAATTAAAATATTTAATAAACTCAATTTAAGTTTTTCAAATCTTTTTAAATTAAATTTTCAATTCCACCTTTTTAAACTTTTAAATGTTTTAAATGTTTTGAATTTTTAAACGTTTTAAACTTTTAAATCTTTTTAACTTTTAAAGGTTTTAATCTTTTAATAGCTAAAAACTTTAAAACGTGTAAAACTAGATGAGTCTATATTTTTGAACATTTTAAAAGTATAGAGTGTAAATATATATGTATATATATATATATATATATATATATATATATATATATATATATATATATATATATATATATATATATATATATATATGTATATATATATATATATATATATATATATATATATATATATATATATATATATATATATATATATATATATATATATATATATATAATATTATATATATTAGTATAAATATATGATTGAAAAAAGATTATTACAAAAGAATATAAAGATACATACATATTTACTTGTTTTTTTTTATTATTATTATTAAAAGTTTATATATATATATATATATATATTTTTTTAATATGGCAAAACTATTAGCCTAATACAGCTTTGTCACAAATTTTTAATAAACATTAGCAGATATTTTTTAATAACTTTCACAATATCCAGTTATTAAAAATAAGTATTTAACGTTTTGGTAAATGATAAAAGAAATTAACTCTTGCTGCGGAAATAAAAGGGCGGAAGCTACTAGAGGCAGAAGAAAGAACATTTTACCGCTAAAAATTGATTGGGAGACCACCCCATGCAGCTTCTGCCTCCCTAAAAAGTTGACCTTTAGGCAGAAAGTTATTTTGCCGCCGAGTAACATTATCAACTCTGGCACATGATAGCTGAGAAATTGATTCATAGCATTTATTACAGATGTACATGATAGCTGAGAAATTTAACCATAACACTATAAAGGGCATTCTATAGTATGATTAAATTCCTTAATGATTTCTTTTTATATCAAGGATATTTTCATTGCCTATATAACTATCAATAGTTGTAAAATAAAATCACAAAAATTTTTTTAATTAAACCATAAAGATATTTGAACAGCTTTATCACGATAAAAAAGTTAAACTGTCTTTCTCTTTAAGATTATTTTTATATTTCACATGTGTTCAGGAAAAAAAAATTATTTTAGTGATTAATTAATGGTAAATAAAAGTATTAAAATAAAAATTTGATTTTGGCTCCATTAAATGTCATATACCAAATCCATCCTATGTCATACCATATCCATCTTCCTATTCATCCTACAGCTCTTCAAAAAGATTTTATAACAAGGTTTTCTATTGTTGTATCGACATTGACACTTGCATATAATATGTGTATATGTGTGTATACATAAATATATGCTGTGCAAAAGAAAAAGCGAGTCATTTTTAATCTACAACCTTAATATCTTAACACACCACTTGATTATCATAACCCACCACTTGATTTACTTACATTTTTTTATTTTCTATTTCTATTTCATACTCTGTTTTTATATCTCTTTTCATTTCATACCATGTCTTTTCATTTCATACTATCTCTTTTACTACTTTTGTTATGACCTTGATGATGATATATCTTATTTGTTTTTAAGGTTCCATTTGATGAAATGCGTTTAGTTTTTCCACCTGCCTGTGCTTCAGTTTTTGCCTTTTTATTGAATTACCTTCTTGTATCAGTTTTGCCACACGGGATTGGTCGAGCTGTTTTTGCAGGGGGGATGTTAGGTTATGTTATCTACGATCTGACACACTACTATTTGCACCATGGATCACCTGCGAGAGGCAGTTGGTTCCACTCTTTAAAGTATTATCATGTTCTTCATCACTTTGATGATCACAGTACAGGTTTTATATTTTTAGATATTTTTAATAAATTGAAAAGTAAACGTTTTTCGATGTAATATTTTTTTTGATACGTTGTTTTAATTTTAGGCTTCGGCATTTCTACGAAGTTGTGGGATTACCCTTTTTCTACTGTAAATAAGAAATTTTTAGAAAAATCCAATTAGTTTTAGTAGGTGCATTGGTGGCATATCAACAAACATTTTATATTGGTAGCATATCAATAAAGCTTTTTGGATTTAGATGCTCTTAGGTCACTTTTTTTTTCAAAATATTTTTATTTTTCAAGTTTATATATCTTTATATATTATCTTTGTTTTCTTTCATTATATATTATTTTTGTTTTCATAATTCTAATTTTTCGAAATCAAAATTTTTGTTTCTACAATAATAAATTGCTTTTACCAATCTTTATTCGTTTTCATAGTCACTATGAAATTTTCACCAAGATGCTCATTTTACGCGTGAAATGTTTTAAGAAAAGAATGAAATTTAAGAAATCAATTGCACATATATTTAGTATTTAATGAATTATTATTTATGATGAAATTGTAGGAGTTATTATAGAAAATACTAATATAATATATAATATATTTTAAAAATATTTTACGAATATAAATTTTAGTTGAAATTTTCATAAACATTGTTAATACTAACTTGTTTACAATAAAACGGTCTTTAAAAGTTTTCTGATGTTTGAATACCAAATATATGATTGAAAATAAGATTATTACAAAAGAATATAAAGATACATACATATTTTTTTTTTTTTCATTATTGTTATTTAATTTTATTATTTTCTTTTTCTTGTTTTTAAGATAAAAGTATATAATTCGTAATACATTAGTACAAAACCAGTGGCGTCGCTAGGGGATGGGTATGCGGACCGCACCGGGTAAAATCATCACGACCTGAGAAGTGACACCATAATGAAAAAAATGCAAGTTTGACAGAACTGCTCATGCTTCAGTTATTTTATTTTTGCGTTTGACCAAACCATTAGTTTTAGGGGTTTGTTTTTTGATATTCTTTATTAATAACTTTGCTATTTTTTTATTTCACACACTAATCTTTCGTCTTTTATTCAAGATCAAAAAATTGTATTTCGGATGTCTTTCATAAAAATTGAAGACAGTAACATTTTTTTGATTTTATGATTAGCCATATTGATTTCCGATATGATTAGCCATATTGATTTCCAATCTTGGGTTTATTTATCGCTAAACTACCTACTTTTGATGTTTAATATTCTACAAGAATTATAGTGTTTTACTAAATTTATTTTGAAGTGTTGAAAATCGCGCCTTCAAGTTGCTAAGAAGCAATTAGCGTCCTTTTTAAAAAGACTTAATGTGGCATGTTATATAATACGCTAGAGAGCCATTAACGAATGTGATTTTAATATAAAAGGAATTTATATTTGTTTCTAAATGTTTGTTTCCATATAGTCACACGACAGTGGTTGTGTCCTACTACCTAATGTTTTCATTAAATTACAATTTTATTTTTGTTTACGCTCTATTTTTGAAAAATATTGGTTGCATGGTATCAACCAATAGAAAATATAGTACAGCGCGCAAAAATTGAATCTGCTAATCATGTCTTAGGGTCGTGCGACAATTGTCGTAGGATTAGAATTTTTTTAACCTCTACGACACTAACGGCACTACCGTAAAACAATCTTGCAAGATAAAATTTGTCGTACAATGTTTACATACGGTCGCGCGACAATGTATATGGAAACCGACCTTAAGAGATTGGCATTTAAATAGATATATAGCACGTTAGTGATTCATTAATATCTCCGGGAAACGCATAATAAATTTTCCACAGAGGCTAATATTTATTTTGATTTTTTTACTATACTTATTCCACTATCATATATTATTTTTAGGATAACTTAAGATTTCGCTGGTCATACTTTAGATAGCATAATTCGAGTTATGAAATTGAAATGAAAGAACTATGCTATAATTACAATTATGATTTACAACTTAATATTCTATCGTGTCGCAAAGAGTGCATATATCAAAAAGGCCTAGTTGACGCGAGCAGCAAAATGCAAAAAAGTACAGCAAAAAATACGAATCGCTAAATTCACTATCTGGATCCATGCTTCAATATATCAGGGTACCAAGTGATGACCAAAGCTCATCAAAAAAACTTTTTTCCTCAAGCTAAAATTGATATTTATTCCATCAATGCTAGCTGTGTGCATTTTTTCAACGCCAATCGTTTTCAACGCCAAAAAGCTAAGCTCAAAATTATATAGTCATGAGATATCGGATAATAATCTATGTTATCTTGAAAAATGGAGAACATTAGAAGCAGTATATAAGCTGCACACAACAATTATTGCTGAAAGTATTGCTGTGGTGAAAGTGAGAAAAAATTGTGGGAATATCTTGTACAGGTTGCTAGATATCACATTGTTTTTTGATAAACAAGATCTGGCATTTTGTGGTCATTAGTAATAGTAATCTTCATTGAATAAAGGAAACTTTTTCGAGATAGATGAGATGCTTTCTAAATATTACCTGTGCTGACAGAACATCTAATGAGATTAAAGCATACTTCAGGTACTGCAAAAGTATCCCTATCATCCACCAGAAACTCAGAAAGAAGGTTTGAAATGTTCTGGTAAATTATGTGAAGGTAATTCTTGTCAACAAAATAAAGACTGCGAGGTATTTTGGAATTTTGTTTGGCAGCACACCTGACCAATCAGATACTGACCAGCTGTTTAATATCAGAGGTGTTCAGGCCACTCTGAAAAAAAAGAATAAAAATATTATTTTTAATGAATGTATTGTCCTTTCGTTTAATTTGTATGGTCAACACTTTTTTGCTGAAAATGCTTCATGTGTAACATACTTTGAAACTCTTGAAAGAATATATTTTTTGGCTGCTTAGATCCATCGATGGGATATTTTAATTGACCACTCTGGAATGTCGGTCAAAAAGCTATCATGAAAGATAAATTTAATGAATGTGTGGAGGCAATTAAAACTCTACGTTTTCCTTGTGAAAATGTGAACACAAGAGGTACAATACAAAGTCTTTTACCTGCTGTCTGTGATTTTACATATCTCTGCTACCTTTACTTTTGGGCTGCTGTACTTGAGAAAGTTGATCTTACTCTGCAGTATCTTCAGAAAAAAGGCTTAACTTTTGACGAAGTGGTTACTAAGCTAGATACATTAAGACTTTTTCTGCAGGAGAAGTGTAGTCACTTAGTGGAGCATGCAATTGAACAGACTTTTAAAAGCAGATCAACATAGAATTTCATTTGGTTTAACAAAATAATGGCAAAGGAACAACTAAGAATTGCTGGGCTCACTTTGCATTGATCGTTTCCATTCTAAACTTCAGATTAGGTCAGCGGCGATCAAGAAAGTAGCAAACTTGTTTGAAGCCTTCAATCTAATAGTCTTCTATCAGCAAACGTAGAGTTGCTGCTGTCAGTTCTAAATCTGACCACTTTCTTTGACAAATTATCCAAAGTTGAGCTTTTAAAAGAAATAACGAGGCTGAGAAGACACTCGAATGCAGCAAATATTGATCTTCAAAAAGCTAAAGACTGGTCAGTATTTGATGTTTAAAAGTTGATAGCTTAATGGGACTTCCTTGAGTCTCTCCAAATACTCTTACTAAGCCCTCAACTAATTCTTACGATCTGCATGTCTGTGGCTTTGTTTGACATGAGCTTTTCAAAATTGAAACCCAGGACAGTCAAGCCTTTCTAATCTGGCTCTATTATTAGTTAAAAGTGATATGGTAAAAGATATTGATTTTAAACACGTTTTCAGCTTTAAAGACCAGGAAGAGTTTTGACAAAATAAAGTTGTTAAATAACTGTTAAATAACTGAACTTTGTCTTAATTTATATTTTATCTAAAATCTTGAAGTTTAATTTTTTTTTTCTTATGCCCTTATTAACTTTCTGACTTATTTTACAAACATTTTTTGAATGATTATACATGATTGGAGCCTGGTCTTTCTTTTTTTTAAAGCCCTAAAATTTTCGCCCCTTCCTGCCCCAAACGAGAGAGCAACAAGTTTGATCAGCCGTTGCGCAATAGATGAGCAACCACAAGTTTGAGCAGCCGTAACGCAGTGGTTAGCGCGCTTGACTCGTAAGCTAGAGATCCGTGCTTCAACGCAATCTAAGGGCAAATATATATATTTATATATATATATATATATATATATATATATATATATATATATATATATATATATATATATATATATATATATATATATATATATATATATATATATATATATATATATATATATATATATATATATATATATATATATGTATATATATATATATATATATATATATATATATATATATATATATATATATATATATATATATATGTATATATATTGTGCATATACTATCTAATATATATATATATATATATATATATATATATATATATATATATATATATATATATATATATATATATATATATATATATATATATATATCAGGGCCGACGATACGGGTTTCGAAGTGGAGGGGAACAATCGTCAATTTTTATAAAAAGTCCTTTTGATACAGAACTTTCTTCAACAAAAAAAAAGTTCCTTTAGAAAAAAAGTGCGTGGGGGAGGGGGGGCTTTCCCCTCCGTCCCACAGTGGGGTATTTGATTGATTTAGGCGGCCAAAAATATTTTATAATCTTTGATTGAAAAAGTTTATTTAGGAAAAGCTGGTAGAGAAGCCAAAAAAAAAAGAGAAAACAAAAGATTTTTTAAAATAATAGACTCCCCCCCCTCCCCCCAGCTTTTTTTTTTTTTTTTTGCACTTAACTCTAGCATAAACATGATAAGAACCTATTTTATATGGTTCTTATCATGATATAAACATATTTTATAAGGTGGATAACTTATCTTCCTCTAACTTTCACTCGAAATTGAAAGTCAAAACATCGCGATTTGTGTTATCTTAATGTATTCGGAAGCACTTGCAATTACTATATAACTCTTATTAAGCTATGGTAAATATTAAAAAAAAATCTTTACAGCTATTTATATTTTAACTCAAAATAACAACTATTAAAAATATGATGCCGAAAGCTAAAGTTCTTCGTCAGAAGACATCCCTGATTGCTCTGAAGACATCTCTGATTGCTCTGAAGATTTCTCTGTGTCAAAAATATCAGTAAAATTAGAAAGTTCAGCTGGAAGTAGCATCTCCAAGGTTTCTTTTAAGAATGGTTTAGTATTTTTTCTTGGTAATTTTCTCATGCCAGTTAAAATAGGATCTGAGCTAGTTAGTAATCTATTAAGATTACTAATTAGCTCAGAGTCAAGGTTGCAAGACTCTCTGGAAAACTTTCTAGCATTGTTTTGACGGTAAAGACGAAAATATTTATTTCGTGCTTCAGCTTCTTCTTCAGATAGCTGACTAACAGGAAGCAAAGCATGCTCTATTACAATAAAACCATGAGTAAGGATTTTGTGCATTGTAAGGGTCATCGGATACCATTGGTATAACTGGACATATAATTCCACAGTTTTTACAGTACAACTTCTAAATTTTTCGACATCTATTTTATGTTCACTAGATATTGTTTCTAATATTACTTTAAGGCGATATATTAGGTTATAATTTATACATAATATTTCAGCTGCCAACTCTGGGTCTGCAAAAAATCGTCGGCTAGTGTTGCCATTATTTGAGTTACCAAATCCAGGCACAGGTACGTCTACAATTAAACCTATTTTTTCTAAAATTTAATTGTATTTCTAGTTTTTTTTGTTTGACAATCAATTTTTCATTTTCTGATCTCGCTTGCTATTTTTTAATAGGCAATTTATAAGATAGATGCAATAAATTTTCAAATATTCGGATCCTGACATGCAAAATTGATAACCCAAACTTCAGTGTATCTGGTTTGATATCTTTTTCAATAGTCAAGTTATTAAAATCTTTTGCTGTTGCACCACAAATATAGCATCTCATATTTGAAGCTCTTTTTGTGGCTGCGTTACACACCTTAGCATCAACCATAGTGAGCATCATATTATGTTTAACTGAAAATAAATTCCCACCAACTGTCAATTTTGTATCATGCAAAGAGATAATTGAATTTTCAATAAGTTTTATCTCTTTATTTGTTATATCATTAGATTCTTAGAATCTAATTTTTATAGGGCGACAATAATGTGGCGAAGAAGGAGTTGGATTTTGCAGGTCAACCTGTTGCTTTTAGTACAAGTTAATTGAAGCGGTACAAAAGAACTCTGAAATATACTTGCATCAGAATCGTCGTCATTCAGAAATTTCTGTTTATATTGATTTTGCTGTGATCTCTCACAACCCCATTTACAATTTAATATTAATGAACTTTTTTCTTTTTCGTTTAAATTTTGTACCACTTCTTCTAAATACATGACCAATCGTGTAACGGTATGGTCCAATAAATCTTGTAAATTGACTGCAATACAAGTTTCAGTGACATAATAAGATTCCTTATTTGGATAACAATCTACTTTTGCCTTTTGCAGGATACTATAGCAAGGATATAATATTTTACGAGAACTTCTAACAATTTCATATTGTCTTCTGGAAAGACCAGCTTCTACAAACATGGCAAGTACACGTAATACCGATAGCTGTAATTTTTTTTCCTGTAAAACGCTAGAGTATGTTATCTTATATATTTTTGCCCGCTTTGGGAAGTTGATATTATCCTTTAAAATTTTTGAAGCACTTCTTTTTCCTGTAACACCTAATTCCACCTGAGCAGCACAAATCAAAGTTTCTGAATTTGTGGTAGCGCGTATGTTTTCTGTTTTTCTTCTTTTGCTTCTCTCGCTTAATTTCTTTAAGTTGTTTGTTAGCCTACCCCCTTGATGCAGTACTACAGGTATTGCAATATTTCCTTCTAGCCAATCACTGTTTTTTATTAAAAACAAATTTTTATCCCTCTTTGCTATTGACCATCTTTGTTTTAACTCGTAACTAAACTGCGGTAAACTATGTTTTACTTCTTTCATTTGTTCGTCTGAGTAATTATCTTTTGCTAATACGTAATGTTCTAAAAATATTAATTTCTTATTCGTGTTTAATAAAATTTGGCTCTGCATTAGATCAAAAAACATTCTTCGGGTCGTTTCCCTGACATCTGAAGAACCTAAGATAACCTCCGTTTAAAATTAAAATATACCTTAATATGAAGTTTAGTGTTTTTTATATTAAATAAATTATTTTATAGTTTCGATTAAATATATAATACTAATCGTAAACCTTTATTTAAAAAAAAGTAATAATTTACTTTCTTTAAAGTATACAGAGAAAAAAAGAAAAAAAAAAAAAAAAAAAATTTATACAGAAACAACAACCCCCTGGTCTTTTCCTATCATACACTTAAGAACAGGAAAAGTGAATAAACAAATACGGAGAACAAAATGACAAAAAATGGCAGGTGATTTTTACATATTATTGTAATCAAAATCTTAGCCTATCTGTTAATAAAAAAACAGCAACCTGGAAATGCTTGGAAGTATTACTAATTACTTATAGTTTGCAGAGAATATATATATATATATATATATATATATATATATATATATATATATATATATATATATATATATATATATATATATATATATATATATATATATATATACATATATATATAATTAATCTAAGCGCGCTTATTACGATTTGATTGAAATTAGAAAGCATAACTGTGGAATATTCGAAACTGAACTTTTACTTTATAGTATTTTTAAAATCATAATTTACGTATCAAATTGGCGGTATTTTAAAAGTTTTAAATAAAGCGTTGCCAAGAAATACTGAATTTCGAACGAATTTTTCTATCTTTGTTTTAGACATTTTAAACCGCGAGCTTTAAGCATCTTTCTCAAGCATTAAAAAACGTCTCAAGTAAATAAATTCAAGTTATACTTTATTAAACATATTTATGATTTTTTTGAATTTTTTATAAATCTTTGTTTTAAAAAGTAACTTTTATTTTTAAAAAAGTTTTATTTAATTTTTTGCTTTAAAAAGAATTCCTTTAAATATAACTTTATTATCTTCTGTTTTTTTTTTTTTTTTTTTGCGATACAAAACATTAAAATTTAACGTATTAGAATGTAGTTAACTATGCTAAACCTTTTGTAAAAATAATTCAAGCAACCCTGCTGCACGTATTTTTAATCGTAAATCAATGTTAAATTTTTTATTTTTAAATTATGACGCTTAGGATGGCAGAAATGTATAGTTTCCTAATTCGTCTATTCATAGAAACATTAAGTAATTAGCGCATCTAAGACGTTTGAGTTCAATAAACACTTTCAATTGTTCATAATTAATATAATATCGAGTTAAGCAAAAATTCTTGATGCTTTTAAAAAAATTTCAAGGACTATTTGTTGTTGGTACTGTTGCACGTTTTGTTACAGAGAATTTTATTTTCTCGTTTTTAATATAATGCTTTTGTCATTATATTGACAATTTTCTTTTGTGAATTATTTTGTGAAGTAAGTTATATGATTTTTTTTTAATGAAAACGTGTTTCTTATGATTATGAATAGTCAAGTAGAGAATCTATTATTACCACTTATTCAATGATTTAATTATGGCTCCGTCTTCTAACAATTTTTCTGCAAGATTTAAAACGTTTACTTACAACGAAATTAAAAAACACTGCAGCGCAGAAGATTGTTGGATTATTGAGAGTGGTAAAGTATACGACATCACTCGTTTTCTTAACCAACATCCTGGTGGCGAAAACCTGATTTTATCTCATGCTGGCAATGATATCACTAACTACTTACAAGATAAAACTATACATTTGCACTCCAAAAACGCGTTAAACTTATTGAAAGACTTCCAGATCGGTGAAGTCGAAGATGATATCACGGTAACAAATTTTTTCTTAATACATGAACGTTCATATTTAATTTTGCAATTTCTTAGAAAAACCACAATCGCCAGTTTGCTGAAAGTTATTATGCAAAAAATATCTTAACCTACGCAAATTATTCATCGTGGTTTTTGTTTCATTTGGGCTCTCTTAAAAGTTTGCATTTGGGCTCTCTTAAAAGACATAGATGATAGAGTTCTATTATTTATACCTTGAATATATAGATAATAGAGTCCGAAGATTGTTTTCTAGGCCTAGGATTTCCCCCTCCCCCCCCCCCCCATCTCCTATATCAGCTCTTAATTGCGAACACTATGCACATTTATGACCCGTGTACACTATACGCAGGGCTATGTACACTATGCATATTTAAGGACAGTTTCTATTTTTTTAATATTATTTTTAAAATAACAACGCATTCCCAAAAGCTTACTCAAGAATGCATTTTTAAGTACTTCTCTTTATGATAAACATAACAAATATAAATCTTGTCATAGAGCAACACGGGTAAGCATTTAATGGGAAAGTTGTTAGAATTCCTTAACAATGTTACTTTAGTGGCTATCGAACCTCATACTTTTTGACTCAGAGCCTCCAATGTTACTTATTTGCCTTGGCCGCTATAATTAACTGTTATTATTATGTGATAAATCATTAAATTTGGATAATAATCAACAGAATTTAAAATTGTTAATAATTTATATTAATATAAAATAATTGTTACTATTGTGCAACCTGAAGTTGAGACATGTTCAAAAATTAAAACACCAATTGTAAAAAAATTGTAACACCACTTGTAAAAAAGCTGAAGTAAAATTATTCGCAATATTTTTTAATTTGTCGTTAAAAAGACGTGCATTTAAAAAATAAAATATTTTACATATTATATTATAAAAAAATAGTAATAATAATCTTTGTCCGATCTTACACAATCTGTTCCATATGTTCAATCCTATAAAATTCTTCTGAGTCATGATATTAATATAATTCTGCATTGGGGCAAGAGAGGCTCTATAGCCACATTCAACTCAACTTACTTTGGAGAAGGAAGGGTAGCTTATAAATATTGAATCTTGATAGTTGCAGTATCACAATAATGTTCTGGTCTGCAAAATAGGTTCACGCCAAGATGGAGATTTAATTGTAAAAAATTGCTAAAAGAGTAGAACAAATTTTAAATAAGGTATAAAGAAGTTAAACAACTTTAAAACTTGATTTGTTTAAAATATGCGTATAGTGTGTGTTTCTATCGAAAAATTTCCGCAATCTATTATAGCGTTTTACGTTTTAGCATTCCTCATATCCTCAACCGCCATATGTTTTGAAAATAAGTAGCTGTTGTTCTACTTTCTGTTTTCATATTTAATTAAGTTTTTTGGTTGTAGTCGTTGTTTGCTTTTTTAAATGCAATATTTATAAGGTTCTTACGCTTCAATTTTTTCACATTTTTTAAACCTCTATTTAGTTTTTATTGGTTATTTTTACAGTGATATGTGTGATTTAATTTTAAAGTGAGTTTTGTGATTTGTTTCGATCAATTTCTTTTCCTTTCTGTCTATTATTTTACTAAAGTAATGACAGTTTTCTTTAAATAACTTTTGTTCACAACAGTGTTGTGAGCGAAACTAAAATTAGTAAGTTAACTAAAAATAACGTTACTAAATTTAGTAAACTTTTTAGTTCAATCGAAATTAGTCAACTAGCTTTATAGTTCAACTAAAATTAGTCAACTAAGTTTGATTAAAGTCACGTGATGTTAGAATAATAAGGTTTTATCTCTTTGTAATCTTCAAATCTAAGTGTTGAGAGAGTTCAACAAAAATAGTTATATTCTCTTAAATTTTAAAAATTAAAAAACAAAAATTAACTAAGTTCATTAAATTAAAAGAATAAAAAATCAAATTTGTTAAATTGACTGCTTCGAAGATATACTAGTCACGGCTAACCAAATATTAATTTTAACCAAACTATTTTTTTGTTATAAAACCAAATAGAGTTGCTCTAGATAAGTTGCAAAGAGATAAAAAAAAAAAGTGACACTGTTGAAAAAGCTGATATGATAAGATGTTTATCAGCTTTTTAAAAAGCTGATAAACATCTTATCATTATTATCAACTGAAAAAAATATATATTGGAAACTAGATATCTTCAGACTGTCAGTGATGCTCATTTCCTTGCAAACACGCTAGATCCTACTTATTTTGGATTTAATCTTTCTGAAAATGAAAATGAAGCTGCAATGACCTTTAAGAGATAAAGAACTTAAAAACTTGTAACCAGTAATATTCAAGTTAAAAGCCAAATCTGCTTCATTTGATTAAAGTTATTTGTATACCCAGGAAAAAAAGTTCTATAGAATTTTCTATAAACTTTTGAAATATATGGCCTATAGAAATTCTATAGAATTTTTATAGAGTTTCTATAGAATTCTATTGTGGTGAAGCTTTTTTATTTTTCCATATTCTACTGCCCATGCAAAATTTTGACATTGCTTCATAATCAACGCCATTATCACCCACAATTGCACTTACAAATCCTTTGGAGGTATGGCCGCGTCGTTGCCATGCACCATCAAGCTTAACATGCTTCATTATTGGTTTCCCAGGAAAAAAAGTTCTATAAAATTTTCTATAAACTTTTGAAACATATAGCCTATAGAAACTCTATAGAATATTTATAGAATAGCTATTAATTTCTATAGAAATTGTCATAAAACTTTTTTTATATTAAAAAAAAAGTAGAAAAAAAATTCAATAGGAATTTTTATAGAAGTTAACAGAAACTTTACAGAAGTTCTCTAGAATTCTATAGAATTTCTATAGGCTATATGTTTCAGAAGTTTATAGAAAATTCTATAGAACTTTTTTTCCTGGGTTTCATTTCCATTGTGGCACATTTTATACTTTCTTTAGCAGTTTTACCGTGTTTAATATTTTTATATTTAGTTTTCTAAATGGAGTAGCTGTCAAACAGTGCAGCAACTAAAGTTTTTCATAGATTGACACCCTTCACCTATTTCTTTAAATCCAATTATCATTCTTGTGTATGCTTCAAATGTTTTCCTATCCTGAGCTGTATTTACATTCAATTTACTACTCTGCTTAGAAGAATATAATTTTTTTTTCCGTTCATATAAACTACACTTGACTTTAAGGTAATAAGCAAAACCCATGGATTGCAAAATGAGATTTTTTCATTACAAAAGAGAGACAATTAAACGAGAATAAGTTTTTATTATTCCTGTAATTTTTACTTAAAAGTAATTAATTTTTTTGAAATATGCATTTGATTTGTGAATTTTTTTTTATGAAACAACTTAACTCGGTATTTTGCATAAACTAATGAAATTTTTGGACCAAATTAATTGCTTACAAAATAATAGTCAGAAAATCTTTATTTCCTACCATCAAATTAAAACAAAGGAATTATTTAATTTGGTCAACGAATTACCTGTGCAGTACTTTGCTATAAAAAAACTTTGCTGATTTATTATTAAAAATATTATGAAATTTGTTCAATTCCCAGAACATTTGAAAGACGTTCATAACGTTTTTTCGGGACCAAAAGCCGGCTGGTTTAAATTTCTTAGTTAAATTAATATACATTTCTCTAATTCGATTCGCAACTATTTTCACAACATGGAAACGAGACCAGTAAGGACAAAAATAAAAACAAATAACAACAATTTACTTAAATAATCTTTCTAAATTACTAATTTTTCTGCTTATCTATCTTAAAAAATACTTAAAAAAAGAAATTTTTGAAAAAAAGAATTTTTGGTAAACCAATTTTCAGAGGACAATAAAAATGCCAAAAAATTGCCAATTTTTAGAAGACAATAAAAATGCCAAAGACTCGTTAATTCATGGTAAAACTAATGAGAATCTTGGAAAAGAAAGAAATTTTTGAATTTAATGATTTATAGATAAAACAAAATATTTAAATTGTTAAAAACTGGATTATAAAATTATGTTAGAGTATTATACAAATAGAATGCTCAATGTTTTTAAAAAACAGAGCAATAACATATTAGTAAAAACACTTACCTATCTTTTTCTTTAACAAACTATTTCTCCTTCAGTAGGTTTTTCAGAACGAACCTACCTTATGAACCTACAGAAGTAAAAACAGCCTGTCGAAGAAAAAAAACAGATAAGTGTTTTTACTAACATATATATATATATATATATATATATATATATATATATATATATATATATATATATATATATGTACATACAACCCTCGGAATTAGGATCGAAATTCTGCAATGCCGACCTGATAGTGTTTGAGGTCGGCAAAAAATTGCCGACCTCGTTTTTCCAAATTCCGAGGGAATTTGGAAAAATGAGGTCGGCAATTTTTTGAAATTTATATATATATATATATATATATATATATATATATATATATATATATATATATATATATATATATATATATATATATATATATATATATATATATATATATATATATATATATATTTATATATATATATATTTATATATATATATATATATATATATATATATATATATATATATATATAATTTACCGGGGATAAATTGCTTGTTTCTTTGGATGACAACAGCTTACAGTTTTCACAATTTTCACTGTTTGTTAAATCCAGTAATGTGTAAAGTTCTTTATCGAATAACTTAGTTGTGAACTCTGGATATTTTGACTTTTTACATGGAAATTTTCTATGTAATTTTTCTTGTGTTTTCTTGAATGAATACAAGCTTGGAACTTCCTTTTTTTAAATATTTTTTACCGCAACTTTACCAAATTTTTATCTCTCATTGCCTAAAGCGAAACCAGGGCCAACGACACCGGGGGAGGGGGAGGGGGGCTCACACACTTTAGTGTGTTTCATTATTAAAAAATTATCAGCGCCTTCTTTACGTCTATATTTAAATATTTCGTTACACCAAGCTTTGTGAACGTCGTGTTTTTTCTCTTGGTTTGCCAAAGAAAATAGACCAATTTCCATA